GTTTTGGTGTCGACAAATGGACAAGTATCCAATTATTGCTAAGAAAGCCCTGGATTTTTTTATACCATTTGTTACAACATATCTTTGCGAGCAATCCTTTTCGACGATGCTGGACACAAAAACGAAGAAAAGGAACAGACTTTTCTGTGAAAATGACATGAGACTGGCACTTGCCAAGGTGAAGCCACGCATATCTGAACTGGTCTCTCAAAGGCAACAGCAGAAGTCACACTGATTTGCAGGTATGTAATTTGTTGTAAGTTCATGCATTGTGTTGGTTTTGTTCTTTGAACAAGGTGATGTTCATGTACGGCTCATTTTGTGCACCAGTAAAAAAAATATCTATGTCTTGAATTTGAAAAAAAAAAAAAAAATTTCACTAAAGAGGGGTTCGGTGAATGCGCATATGAAACTGGTGGGTTCGGTACCTCCAACAAGGTTAAAAACCACTGTTTTAGGGCAACTAGAAAAATGTGTCATTTCTTTTGTTAAGAAAAAAAACCCAAACATTTAGCCTCCTTTTTAGGCAGCATCTGCCACATCTGGCATAGGATAAAACATTAATGGTTGCCAGCATTTTTAATTATTGACAACCACTCTGACAGCATGTGTTCAACATGGAGAACACACTCACAGGAAAGACTGAAAGAAAGCCAGACAGGAAGAGGGAGAACCTGTGTCATCAGAAAGGGACAGACATCTGTGTGCCTGTCTAAATAATACATTTCCAGAGGAGAAACTCGAAGCTGTTAGAGGGGACCCCCTTGCAGCTCCTTGCCTTCTGTCTTTCTTCTCGCTCTCTTCCTCTGTAGATACCATCCTAATTGAGCCCTAGCTTGGCTCGGGGACACGGACACACACAGCTATGCCAGAGCTGTCATCTGGATTAGCTGGGGCCCGACTCAAAAGGGTTTCAGTGAGAATTTTTGCCCACTCTCTTAGCCAGACACAGACATACAGCAGCTACAAATGAGCCCACATTGAGGACCTTTTGTTCTGCGATCGCTTCTTGTTATAGCACACCACACGCAACGCAAGTTGGAAAGCTAAGATTTATTGTTTTTTGTTGGACTTTCTGGAAACACAGAGGTTGGAATTGTTCAACTGAAATTAGCGAGACATGTGTTAAAGATCATAATCGCGACTATCCTTAGCAAGAGGCACTCAAAGATGAGAGACTGCCGTTGGCTTGCAAGCTGTTCAGAAAGGCGGCTTTTCTATGGAGACGAAGGACGAAGAGCGCTTTAAAGCCAGTTTTAGCTGCCTGTGGAATCGTAAATACCTGCAAGGTGAGATAGTATATATTTCGCAAACACATGCATGAGATGACACACTGGAGCACAGACAGAAATATAGTCGCGGGAGAAATGCAAACAAACATCAACCTGTCTGTTCTTGCTGGTGGCTGTTTACCAGTCTGGTGTTTACTGTCACTCTTCCAAGATCCCTCGTGCAGTAGTAAAATACGCACACACACACAAAATCGTGCCTGATGTGACATAGGATGCCAGGGATTCTGTGCATACTGGGTTTTTTTAATTCACGACCAAAAAAAGCTCGTGGATTGGGGGATGGTGGGTTCTTTTTTTTCTTTTTTTTTTTAAACAAATCATTCGTTTTCTTTTTTTATTATTCTGTCTGACTGAAAGCTATGTGCTCACATTGTGAGCAGAGGGAGATGGGAAGACAGAGAGGGGGGGGGGGATGAGAGAGGGAGCACAGACAAGTGGAAAAACAGGCAGAGAACTTCAAAGCCAATGAGACAGCAGCCACAGAATTTTAATACACCCCCTTTTTCCTCTGATGGCTGGTGCATGTGTTCAGCGCTGCTGGGCTCAACTCTGCACATGACAGGCACCGTCCATGGCGCGCACAGGCACGCCACGCATGGCCAGGAAGGCACGTGCACACGCACGCACGCACGCACGACAGAGGGAGCTTTTGTTACTCACCTGCTGGACTTCTGTCTCTCCGTTTGATGTCTTCTCGGTGTAAACGAACGAGCTGAAAATCCTCTGTAAAGAGAGGGAACCAAGCAGAGAGAGTGACGTTAGATCACGAGGAACGCTGATCGAGATCCAATAACTCAAATCCATCACTTTAAAGGAAACCTTTTTCATTAACAAACTGTAAAACTCAGTCAAACCAGGACCTGTTCCTGCGTACATGGCATTAAAGCTAATTAAGTTCTCTAGCTCTAATAAAGCCATCATCGCGGCTGGGTGAAGAACTAAATGTGTCCGCTGCAGCCAGAACTGGAAAAAGTCTCAAAAAAATTTGAGGCCAATTCTTCAATCTCATTCCCTTTATTTTTTATAATACTTTAAATTACAGTGAGGTGAATGTTAGTCTGCATTTTCTTGCCGCCTGTATTTAGTGCTCCTTGATGGGCTACTTGTGTTTAAAACTAAATGAAGCAAGTACACTCTAGAGCAGAATATGCTAGCACAATTACAAAACAAAAAAAGCCACGTGAGCAGATTTTTCTAAGACCAGATATTTGGATTTGTCAAACAGTGTCAGCTAAGAATAGTTACATTCCATCCAGCGTTTAGTTGCAGGGCTCTGGCAGCCTGTTGCATATTTTGGCTCCTTGGCTCGTGTGAATATAGTGAAAGCATCATTAATGTTACTTCTCTGAGTTTTGAAACACCTACAAGTTGGATGAAGAAGAAGTTATATGGGGGGGTTCCCGTTGTTGCATGATGATGCTGTGAGACTACACTGAATTAATAGCATCCAGCTATCTTCATCAATCAAGAGATGAGGAGGAAAGAGAAAAAAAAAAGACAAGGTAAACACCGGCTGTAGTGCTGTTGCATTACTCTGTTGAGACGAGTGCGTCTGGATCCATTTTATTAGCGGCCCAGAGAGAATGATAAACCCGACTACCTGCCAAAACATAGTCCTGTCAACTGCATCAGTTTCTCAGTTGGGAGGGGAAACGCCTGCCCGAGTCTAGAAGTCAGCCGTAGCATAAAAATGAAGGTTTTTATGAGCTCAAATTGCAAGATGATGTTAAATTTCCCTCCCTTCGCCTTCTAGGCTGAAACATTTTTAACAGTTCCTGATTTATATTGTTGAGCAGAGAGGATGTGGAGTGGTGCATTAAGGCATGGAGAAAATGAGTCCGGCTGTGACCTCAGCACTCAGAGAGCCCCAGAAAAACATTATATGAGCCGCCAAAATACGGACCTGCTCTGACACACAGAAACATGCAGACATTTATTCAGATGGTCTCTCGAGTCTTGTATATTTGCTCTCTCTCTCTTTTTCTCCTACTTATTTACACATACACACTTGTTAAACACAGGCACCGGTGCCATGTGTCAGCTACAAACAGAGTACAACTAATGTTTGTGTTGAGGCAGCAGGCGGGCAGGTGTTTCACGGTAAGCTGCCCCACCGTACACAAAGCCTTAAATTGTCTGGTTTCTACACTCCAACCATTTCCTGATGCCTGTCCACACCTTTTGTCAGACACATTCCAGAGGACACCAATTACCCAGATTGCAACTTAAATAAACTAAACCTGGATTTGTGTTACTATGGACTTATGCCATAGTTAGACATGTCTCTGTTTCAGGGTATATCTGGTGACAAAGTGAGCTCAGTTGTCAAGCAGTTTACGCTTTAAGACATTTTATTATTGGCGATATTGTGCCTCAGCATCAGAGGAACCTTTCCTTTAACACTTGGAACATACAGTACAACAAGAAAAGTATTGGGCCACCTACACACAACACCCGCATTAGCTTTTTCTAAAATTCACCCACCCTTTTGTACCTATAACAGCATTTGTTCTTCTGCTAAGGCTTTCCATAAGATTTTAGAGAGCGTGTCTATGGAAAAAAATTTTGGCATTGTGACATTGAATACTCCCATTCTCCATTGTAGTTCATCCAAAAGGTGTTTGACGGGGTTGAGGTCGGGGCTTTGTGGTGGTCAGTTAAGTTCTTCCACACCAAACTCATCCAACCGTGCCTTCATGGACCATGTTTTATGCACTGGGGCAAAATCATGCTGAGACAGAACTGTTCCCACAACATTGGAAGCAGAAAATCATCCAAAAATGTCTTGGGAGGCACAAAGATTTCTTTTCACTGCAACTACAAGGCCCAGGCCAAAGTCCAGAAAGAAAATGATTACGCGGTACGGCCAAACACTTTTGCCTATATAATCTATGCATGCTTTCCTCCCTTTCTTCCCATTGTAATTGGAACTGTGCTGGAAGTTTCAAGTTAGAAACACAACAAAGGATGATTACAGGATGGGGGGAGGGCTCCAATGCTTATGTACTAATAAAGGGTGTTGGACAGAAGAAGACCAAGAGACTTGTTTTGGGATGGGGGGATTAAAGTAATAGAAAGCAGAAAATCAACAAATATTTGCCACTCTAACTAGGAAATAATGTAATCTAATAAAAAGGACAAATATTGTCAGCCAGTGATAGAGACACACAAACAGATACAACTGTTCGCTGAAACCTCTGCACAATGCTCTCTTCTGATTCATAATGAGTCTTTTCAGCTTATACTGGTAGATTAAGTATGAAATGACATTTCTGACAATTCAATTATTTCCAATATGGCTTATAAACACTGGCTGGAATAAACACACAATTTCGAGTTTTGAGTGTGTAAATGGGAGTCAGTGGTCCTCGTTACTAGTGATTGCTTTTGTGCATATTCATTTCATTTTACAGAGCAAGCGACTAACACACAAAACACTTTAATTGTGTTATTACAAACACACGAGCACATTTCACTACTGAGTTATTTGCAAAGTGCAACACCAAGCCCAGACAGTCTACAGTTCCACGCCCTTCTTGGGTGGGTGGGGGACGAAGGTCCAATACATGGAACTGTCAAATAAACACGACCAAAGTACACTCAAACAGAGCTTCCGCCACTTAGCAGCACTCACTTTTAAAACTTAAAGACTGCAATAACAAAAGAGAAGGAGAAAGGGGGAGGAGTAGGCACTGTGAAGGGGAACTACGTGTTTTTCCATTTAGCAAGCAATCTTGAGAAATTGCGAACAAATCCTGAAGAGAGCAGAGCGGTTGTTGCTGATTAGCCACAGGTTAGCCGGCTTTCCCCCCAGTGCCTAGAGTGTTTGTTGTTAGAGCTGCTTTGCGGTTTTCACAGCTATGGAGCAGCTGGAGAGGAATGCTCAGCTCTGAAACCTGAGACGCCTGAGGCTGCTCGGGCCACCACGGTCCTGTGGCCTCCTGTGACCCACAATCACACATGCACAAAACTGGAGTACCAGGGGACACTCAGACTTCCCTACACACCTTGTAGCTTACTCTGTTGGGTAAACCTCAGCATCATGAAAGAAGACAAATTACAAATACCAGAAGATGACACAAATTTTCATTTTAGATGTCTGATGCACAAGGGGAAGGTTAAACAAGACCTTTTTCAAACAAAGAGCATTCTAGTGGAAACTTTGGAACTGTGTTAATGTTTAACCGTGTGTGTGTGTTTTTTATTTTAATACTTTCATTCAATTGAGTTTTATTTATAGAGTGTTAAATCACAAAAACAGATCCCTGTGTTTTCAATTGTAAGGTGAAGACACTATCATAATAGAGAGAAAAGACCAATGAAAAGATGACCCCTATGAGCAGGCACTTGGCAACAGTGGGAAGGAAAAACTCCCATTTAACAGGAAGAAACCTCTGACAGAACCAGGCTCAGGGAGGACCACCTTTTCCAAACATCCTCGTTTTATTTTGAATGCTTACACTTTTTTAAAATTTGCTTCAAAATTATTAGCTCCCCTGATGCCAATTTTCAGTTGGGTATCTTTTTTGCTTGATAAGTTGTTTTAAGTTTCATTCACATATCCTGACAAATTCTATCTCTATGCTTCCTGTCACCTTGAGGAGATTGACAGTTCTACACACACTAAGGCTTTCCCACAGCATAATGCTCCCACCCTAGTGTTTCACTGTTTTTTGGGCTGTACACTCCTCCATTCTTTCGCTATATCATCTCTTAGGTCAAAGAGCTCTAATTTTGTCACATTGGACCAAAGGATGTGCTTCCATTAAGTATAATCTCTCACCAGGCTGTCTTTAACATTCCTCAGTCTAACTTAAAGGGGCATCTTTTGTAGGAGTGGAGCTTTTCTTGGTCTGCAACCTCACGGTCCATTCCTGCATAGGGGTCTAATGATTTTCATCATTGAGACTACAATTCCTGACATGGCAAGTCATTCAGTAGTGTCTTGGCAGTTGTTCTGAGGTCTTTAGACACATCTCTCACTACTTCTACTTTCTTCCTCTGTCAGGCTTGTTCCGCGCTGTGTGGCTCTCTTTGATACTTCTTGATATTTCTCACTCCAGTTTGTGACACTTGGATATGCTGTGATAACTTTGTATATCAATCTCATGTTTTGTGAGCAAGCCTTAACTGATTTATCTTGTTTTTCCATGGGTTGCCTTTTTCAAGTGACAGCTCAAACCTTTGCTGAAGTTTGTCTGTGTGTAAATAACATACGCCTCAGAAGCTGAACTTCATTTCACAAGCTGTGAGCACTACAAAATTAAAGCACATCATTGCACAGCAATGGTCTGTGCTATAGCTCAATAACAGTCAGTTTTGCAGGGGGCTAATATACTTCTCCTGGTCCTTTTTGGCGTTTTGTTTTCACAAAATAATTCTAATTCAAAACACTTTTTTGAATTATCCCTTGGTTAAAGTTCACACAACAGTAAATGTTTTCCCTTGCCACTAACATACCAAATTGTCTTACGTTTAAAATTTGTGATAAAAGAGTTTTTTTAAATAACATTTGCCTTTAGTGACAAAATGTCATCCATACATAACATTTAGATTTTATTGCACTGCTGCAAGGTCCAAAACGCATGTCTCTAACGACACATCAAAAAGGCTAACCCTGGCTCTACATGGGAAGCATTGCATTCAGATGACTTGTGCATTGATTGCAGAGCTCCAGCCTTCGACTCATTAGGCCAGATTTTAAAGCCATTCACCATGGGGTT